GGAGAAGGTTCTTGCTGGAGAGATAAGCACAGAACATGTGGGCTCGAATGATCAGTGGGCAGATTTGTTTACAAAAGCTCTATGCTCAGGGAAAGTGAACTATCTATGTAACAAGCTAGGATTATATGACATATATTCTCCAGCTTGAGGGGGACTGTTAAAGTGAGCCGAATAAGGGTAGTTTAGTCATCTTATCTTTGTTAAGTTCTATGCTTATGTGGCAGTTTTATTAGAGACACTTTGCCCCACACTTAAGTAAGGGCAATTTAGTCTTTGTAGAAATTATTAGAGACTAATTACTATTAAGGGGTCGACTGATAGGGTTTACCCATCAGATTCGACAGTCCCTTCTTTTCCTTCTTTTTCTTCACTTCTTCTTCCTCTTCTTCGTCTTCATCTTGCTGGTTCAGGTTATTGTAGCTGAAGTCGAAACATACACAACCAAAAACTCTGGAGTAAGGGGAAATGAAAATAAAGTAGGAAACAAGGATGAGAAAGGTGATTAACTTCCAAGGATAGACATGGGCATCAAATTGATGAGAAAACATGATGTAAGGACAACATCACTCTAAAAATGCTTGGGAGCATTCATATCATGTATAATGGACTGAGCAGTTTCAAGTAAATGTCGGTTCTTCCATTCAGCCACACCATTCTGTTGCGAGGGTAAGTACAAGAAATTTGATGAATTACAGTGTATTGTTCTAAATATTGTTGAAATGTTGTTGGACAATATTCTTTAGCATTATTCAAATGGAGAATCTTAATATGAACACCGAATTGGGTACGAATTTCGGCATGAAAGTTTTGAAAAATAGAGAGCAATTCACTTTTGTCTTTCATAAGATAAAGTCATGTCATCCTTGAATAATCCTTAATAAAAAATTACAAAATACTTGTAGCCATTGTACGACACAATTTTATTTGGACCCTAAACATCTGAATGAACTATCGAAAAAGGACTCAAAACATGAATATCAACCCTAGGACTAAAGGACTTTATGATGTTTTCAAAGTTGACACAATTCACAATCCAAAGAAGAAAGATGACTTAACGATGGAACAAGTAACTTTAGAGCCTTGAGAGATGGATGACAAAATATGCAGTGCCATTGGAGAGAAGTGAGAGAAGATTGAAGTGCTACTTTTGGACCACCACCATCAAGATAATACAACCCACCAACTTCATGCCCTCCACCAATCTTCATCCCCCTCTTGAGATCCTTAAACATACAAGAAAAGGGGTAAAAGGTGATATAACAATTAAGAGATTTAGTCAATCTACTAGCACAACCAACACCACAAATAGGAGAGATAGAAGGAATGAAGGATTTGCTAGGGTAACTGTTTAGGATGTGGAAGACTGGAAGAGAGAAGAAAACACACCTGGAGTCCTAGTCATATGATCAGAGGCTCCAAAATCAATAATCCAATGTAAAGGTTTGGATGCCAAGCAAGCCATAGCTGAGTGAGCAAGGGTAGTTGTGTTCTACTGAGAAGAAGTCTAAAGAAATTTCTCATATTCATTACATGAGACACTCACAATTTCCTTACCAGAAGCACCTGTAGATGTGGAAGGTGTTTAATCAGCTTGTTGGTTCTCACTAACTGCACCACCACCACCACTAGTTACAACATGATTGGCCCAAGTATTGGGTGTGCCATGCAAGTCATAACAGAAGTTGATAGTATTCCCTCTAACCTACAATATGTGCATCTCCTATGACCACCTTTGTTCCTTAGAAGTCCACAGCCACCTCCACCACCTTTATTCCCATGACCTCCCCCTCTCACCACCACAAAAATAGACCTGTCAAAAAGGGTAGAATGCTATGAAGGTTCAACAGAGATCCTCCAGAGTCGGGCAAACACCTCCTCAAGAGAGGGAAGAGCAGATTCGCCTAGTATTTGTGCCCTAACAGCTTCATATTCAGATTTCAATCCCACTAAAAACCTTGTCACATCAAGTTGTTCCCTTTGTTGTTGCTGAATGTTAACATCTAAAGTCAAGGGGTGATACACGTTAATCTCATTATGAAGGTTTCTCATACTAGCACAATACTCCTCTAGGCTCTAATTTCCCTACTTCAGATTAAAGTACTCCTAAAAAAGTTGGTATGCTCTGGTGGTGTTATCTTGGCCAGAATAAAGTTTCTTAGCATGGTCCCAAATCTCCCTGTCTATATCCAAGAACATAAATTCACACTAATTTTAGGTTTCATGCTATTCCACAACCAAGTCATAATCTGTGCACCCCCCTGTTTCCACTCACTATACCCCTGAGATTCAGATGAGAGTTTCTCCTCCTCCACATGTTTTACCTTCTTGGCTCTCAGGAACACTTCCACCAGCTTAGCCCATGACACATAATTCTCATCATTTAATTTGATGGAGGTCATCTGTACATTTAAGTAATTAAGGGAAATCATAACACCAGTTTTATTATCACTAACCTCTTTGATTGTTTCCATTGAAAAAAATCAATCACCAAGATCACCCTTCACTATTCAGCAATCACTACGCCACACTTAATTAACTGTTTCTGAGACACTCGCTGTCATAGGGTTCAACACCAAAACCCTATTGTTGTCACACACATTTAGACATAAATAGGAAGGAAAACAGTCCCTACACATACCTACCAATCAGCACTGCCACACAATTGAAATCCAGTCCGAAAAGGGGAGAAAACACCATGATATCTGCCGACTATAAAATTCTGTTCACACCTGTCCATGGACCAGCCCTCTTCGAATCATCGAGTAGAGGGTTTCTAGCAAACCACTGAAACAAACGCCACCTCAACAGCTGGAGGCATAATTACCTCCTAGAAGGAAAAATGATCATTCCTTTTTGGCCTCTTATCTATCCTCCAATTGGTTGATGAGATATTTCAAAATCTCATATCTGATATGGCAATGCAAGGAAAAAATAGGAAGAAAGAAAACTTATTTCTAGACTAATTTCCACTGCTCTGATACCATGTTAATGGTTTGATCAACACTGGTTCAGTCCTAGGTCTGAAATAAGAAGAGAGAAGAAGAAGAAGAGAAAGAAAGGGTTTGGCCAGAGAGGAAAAGATCACACTCTCTCAGCCGACCCACCTTTTATTTATAGTTTGTGCATTAGAATACAAAAAACAATTATGTCCCTCATTAAGTATGGGACACACAACTTAAACACTGACAAAATAGACAACTCACCTTTAATTAAATGACAAAAGACTAAACTACCCTTAAGCTGCTGATTCTAACAGTTAGTAAACTCCATGCAGCCACATATTAGTCACCACTACCTGTGGATGGAAATTGCAAAGGAAGTGTAGAACAATGTCATGGAGATTGTTTTTCCCTTCATCTTTGGTCCATCTTCATGCATACTCTGATGCTAATTGGGAGGGTGTTCAAATACACATAGATCTGATGCATTTCCCTCAGTGATCCCTTATCAAATGGAAATATAGGAAGCAAAGTTCTGTATCCAAATCCTCTATTAAAGCTGAATAGCAGGCTATGTTTCTGCTTGTGGTGAAATAGTTTGGTTGAGGGGTCTTCCACAAAAACTTCATTTTCACCTCATTGTTCCTACACCCTTATATGCTAATAATATGAGTGTTATTCGCATTGCTTCCAACCCAGTCTTTCATGAGCGCACAAAACACATTGAGGTTGACTGCCATTCCATTCGTGATCAGTTCTGGTGGGGACAATCACTCTTCCTCATATCTCCTCTGAGATGCAACTTGTTGATCTCTTCACTAAAGCCATGACCCATGCATGCCATGACTTCCTTGTGGGAAAACTTGATGTTGTCCCTACATCAGTTTGAGGGAGAGTATAGATAGGGTTATATGTTATGTATTTCCTTTGTTTTATTTTATTTTTTGTATGGTGGGTCTTATTGTATTTCAATAGATTGTTTGTAGGCTATTTTGTACTTTGCCCACTAATAAAGGGCATTTATGTAATTGTATATATTTTTGCCCCATCTAATAAAATTTGCACTTTGATTGGTTTGATACACCTTCCAAAACTGTTGTTCTTCTTCATTGCTGAATACTTGAACCCTTAAACATTGACACTCTAAAGAGTGCTATCACTAGAAGAATACAAGTGAATAAATTGCTACTTGTACCAACTTAGATTTGATCAAGTAGATATTTGAGGAGAAAAGAAGAAGACAGGAGAACAAAGAAGAGATACATACAAAAGAATAGGGATATTAACCCATTCACGATCTTTTATTTATATGATGTACAGTGTAAAGGCCAAAATAACTCTGGATACATTGCATATTCAATAACTCTGAAAAACCAGGCTTCTATGATCTAATTTATAATATTTCTTGGTCACCCTAGTTTGTACTTAATCACAGGGATCAAGGATATTTATAGTGGTGGAAGATGTAAAGTCTTTGGAGGAGGTAGAATTGGTTCTTTTACAGCATAAAGGCATGGCAGCTTGCTTCCTGGGTTATAAAGATTAAGTTTGGGAAAGGAAGCTATGGGGAAGGAGGAATGCTTTGGGATGACAATGGATAAGTAGTTTTCTTGGAAGGGGGACAAATGAAATTCTTCTTAATCAGCTTGAGGTGTAAATCCCATATGTAGAAGAAAATCTAGCACATGGAAATGTCAAAGCAGATTGTTCCTTCTATGGTATTATACTATTATAAGTTGAGATAGCCTTGCATCCTAAATGGTGGAAGAAATTTTGTAGGGAGTCTTGGACGAAGCCTTCTTAAATTTTGTATCATGTGCTTTGCTCCATCAATTTTGACGTCAATCTGACTTTCTGCATCAAAATATTTAGAGTTTTTGAAATATGTAATGAATTTGGATGGGTCTCCAAAATGAAGAAAAATTAAGTTTTGGGTGATATTCCTTGTGCAATGGCTGCACCAAAAAAAAAAGAAAATTTATAATTAATAATTTTTTGCCCAAATTGCGAATTGATTTTCAATTAATACACTAATTTATTATATTGCACTTTACATATTAGGTTTTGGAGGCCATGAAGCATTCAACATCAACTAGACCAGCCATTTTTGCATTGTCAAACCCTACGAAAAATGGTATGTGAACTCTGGTTCCTACATTTGTGTTAAACTCATCAATCATTCCATATTCTATATTATAAATCATCATCATTATCCAAGCCTTATCCCAACTGTATGGGATCAGCTACATGAATCCTGTTTCGCCACTCCATTCTGTTTAAATCCATATCCTTCTAAATCTTTGGCAGCTGAATGCACCCCTGAAGAAGCATTTTCCATTGTGGGTCACCACATCATATTTGCTAGCGGAAGCCCATTCAAAAACGTTGATCTTGGTATGTGATTTAGTCATTATAATTTGCACATCATTCCTTGTTCATTTGTTTCTTTGTAGGTTGTTTGATGATTCACCATAGAATGTGGCAAAGAGAAGAAAAGCATAAGATGTGTGACTCAATTTAATACTTTATATGGAGAAATTTGGTATTTAATATGGATAGAATTGGGATTAGTATTAGCATTGCTATATGAAAAGTTTCTGTAAAGAAAGGAGACCTAATATAACAGGCACTGACCTAGAATTGATAGGATAGGAGATCATTTAACCTTTATATGAGACAGCTAATAATGATTTTGAAGTTAGACTGTATTTTGCATGCAAGTTAACTTTGTATTAATAATCAAAAGAATTGTTATTATAAATGCACAAACTGAAGAATGAGAAAGAAACTGTGAAACTTTAGAGAAAATGGCTATCATGATCAGGAAACCTCGTGCTGAACAGAACAGCTACCAGAGGTCTTCTAACCATCTGAATAACAGTCGATTTAGATGCCCTAAATCTTCTTTCAATCCTCTATTGACAGACTTAATCAAAGGCAGGTTCGTAGGACTTGCCCTGATACCATGTCAACCTAGTACGAGCAAGCAGAAAACAGTTCTAGGGGTGTCGAGTAAAATCAAAATCAGTCAACCCCACCCCAAGAGGCCTCTTGTATATTAAACATAACATATTATGTATATTTACAAAAGTTCCCTTATGGGGCTGAAAGAAAATAAAGGAAAAAATAAAACTACAAAGCTGATATATAGTGTATAACAAGGGCTATCCTAATATGATGTATCAAGTTTGTTCACAGGCACAAGAAGGTGGAGAAACAATCACCAGACCACTCAACCTTATAAAACAGCCCAAAAAAAAATATTCACCACTGTCAACACACTACGCAAGTACTGGAACACTTCTGGAACTGGTTTGGGAGCCAAAAAATAACAAATCACATATCAAGAAAGGTCTGTATAGCCTTTATGAACATCAAACACCCCTCCTCTAGGGTACGTGATCATAGTTGTGAAGGTGATGCCTAGGTGACTAAGTGCTTTTCAAAGTGCACCTTGCCCAAACACCAAGAAAAAATGTATTAGGCGCATGCTTAGTGGACTGAATGACATATATAATATATAATATTTATTAAATAAAAATAAATACAAAATATATAATATTTTATTGGTTGGTTTTAGTTTTTATAATAGGACATGTTGCATGTTATCATGTTTTTGTTGTGAGGAAAGTAAAAACAAAATAATCTCAAGGGTTTCACTTTGACAAAAAAAATCGAACTGAGGAAGATAAACAACAGCCCTCTATCGTTCTGATACAGTCCTCTAAGTCAAGGTGAGTTAATCAGTTTCCTCCTTCGTTTTGTTCTCTTTTTCCACTGGTTTGAAACAGTGGTTATGCCCCATTTTTCTTCTCTTCCTTTTTGTTGGACTAAAACCATTCTTCTTTCCTGGTTTGAATCATATTATTGGACTAAAACCGGGGCTCCTCCCCCTTCTTTTGTTCTTAAATTTCTTGCATTTGTAGAGAACACTGATGTGGGCCCCACTGCAGTGGTCCCCACTGTGTTCGTAGGACAGCATGTGTAGTTATTTGTTTCAGTTATAGTAGTGTTAGTTTGTTAATTCAGTTGTTATTTATTTCAGCTTTTATTTACTTTATTTATTAAGTAAAGACTGATTATAGTCTTGATCTTCTACTGTTTTCAGCTTTTTTTTCGTCATTGGTGTCTGAAATAGGGGCTCCACCCCTTCTTTTATTCTCCATATTCTTCTTTTATTTTAGTATTTTTTTCACCAACTTTTTTGGGTCTAGAACAGGGCGCCCCCTTCTTTTGTTTTCAACTTCTTGCATTTTTCAGCTTTTTTTTGTTCTTATCATTGGTGTCTGAAACAGGGATGAAACCCCTTCTTTTCTTCTTCATATTTTTTCTTTTATTTTTATATTATTTCACCAGCTTTTCTGGGTCTAGAACAGGGGCTCCACCCCTTTTCTTCTTTTATTTTAGTAATTGTTCTCATCAAGAAACACAAGCACAAAAGTAAGTGCAGAATACATAAAACCAAAAAACCTAGTTCAGAAGGGGTAGAAATCCATTGGCTTTTTATTTTTAAATTCCAGGGCTAGGCGCCCATCTAGGCACCTAGGCACCTGGGTACCCCATGGTCACCTAGCCTCGCCTTGGTGCCTTGAAAACTATGCACACTTTAACAAAAAAATAGGGAACTTTGGAGAAAAACAGTAGAAGATGGGAAGAAGAAGATGTTGAAAATGCTGTATTGTTTATATCTAGTGCCGCAAGATACTGCTATAATTTCTCCTTTTTTATTCTTGGATGCCTTAGTATATAATCTAATATTGGCACCCCCAGAACAACTTTTTGCCTCTCATTCTTTTCTCTCCTTTTGTTTCTCTCTTCTCTTCTCTTCCTTCTTCTCTTTTGTTAGCGTAGGGGTATTTCTGTCTTTATACCTTGATTAATGTTGCTGATCTGTAATGTTGTGTTGGAACAAGTGCTCTTAACTTAAGTAAGGGCACATAGGTCTTTTCAGTTATGTTTTAATAATAATATAAATACTTACTGGCCGACTGGGAGAAGTCAAGTTGGCTCTTTCAGTTCGAACCAGAATACTCTCTTCTCTCTTTCTCTCTCTCTCTCTTTATCACCTTTTCTTCTTCTACATAACTGAACTCAGTCAGGCCGAACTCTAAGGCAGGCCTGAATTCTATCATCTTTCTTTTCTATTATTCCTTGCAGCATAATGTGGTATCAGAGCAGGTCTGCCAGCCAAAAAGAACAGATTAGATCAAGTACTACTTCCCTTTCTTGTTGTTTTTTATCTCAAAAAACTTGAGAACACAGATCGGACAGGTTTGAGAGTCCTCTTCAGCCTTTTTTCTTTTTTGTTCTTGGTCGTGTACCAAGAAAACAACCTGTAACAGGTTCGTATGATTAATGTGAAGGGTTTAGAACCTGTTATTTTACCTTTATTTGTGGATCATGTGATCCTTTGGGGTGTATCTGTAGGTCAGGAGATGAGCTGTTTTTTCTCTAACAACAGTTAAGTGGAAGTTTGATGGACGTAGGTCCAGTTTTTTGTTCCAGGTGGTGATTGTTCTACTGTTATCTATGGCTGCATGTGTTTTCCAGAGATCATACTGTGTCTGAACTGAAGAAAATTATCAGAAATTTCTCCCTTTAGCGCTGGACTGTGTGTGTGTGGACTGAGAACAAAATATAAAATTTTTTATGGCATCTGAGGACTTGGCTACTTCTGGTGTATCCTTTATTTACAGTGGGGGATTGATTTGAGCTACCGATGGCTATTATTTGCATAGATGGGCTTAACTATTTAGAGTGGTCAAAGGGGATTAAGTTGTATATCACTGCAAGGGGAAAATTAGGGTAATACCAATGGGACGATTAAAGAACCTGGATCTAGAAGTGCAGAACATGAAAAATGGAACCAAGAAAACAACATTGTGATGTTGTGGCCGTTAGTTTCCATGCAGCCTCAAGTGAGGAGGAACTTCATGTGGGCTGAGACAACCTATGAAATCTAGGAGCAAGCCAAGTCTACCTATTCTGAACAGTGATACTATTCTAAAATTTATCAGCTACAGGTAGAATAATTTGCCTGTAAACAGGGGGAGGGAAACCTTTCTGTCTATTACTGTGACTTGACTTCTATCTAGAAAGAACTGGATCATTATCAGAAAATGAATTGGATATGTGATGAGGATGCACAAGCTTACAAGAATCTTGTCTCACAACAATGGGTGTTCACTTTCCTCTTGGGTCTGAATCCTACTTATTAGGGTATAGATCCTAGGAAGTAAGGACCATCCATCTATCCAAGAGGTATTTGCCCTATTGCAATCTGAGGAGAGTAGGAGAAGTTTGATGAATAGCTCTGAGGGTGAATCAATGGCTTTGGTGGCAAAAGGTGGTGTAGGTACAGGTGGTGGAAGTTCTTTTAAGAAGGGGGAGTTTTAGAAGAAAGTAGGTGACAAAGATAAGTTATGGTGCACTCACTGTCAGAATTCTAGGCATACCAATGACACTTGTTGGGATCTTCATGGGAAGCCGAAATGGGCTTAAGAGTTGAGTAAGAAATCTGGTTCAGATCAGAGTAGGAAAACAGGACAGCAATGTCCAAAAAAATCTGGTGCAGAAAATATGTCTTCTCAGGAGACTTAGTTACCTACTATTACTGTGAGTCATGCGTGCTTCTGGTTCTGACCATTTGGAGTTATACGATAGCGCAATTCGTTAGATGGATAATTCTACCCCTACCCCCTCTACTTCCTTTGCATCTACATCAGGTAATCCTACCATAGCTTTCCATGTGACTTCTGATTTTTCTGACTCTCCTTGGATAATTGATTTAGGGGCCTCTAATCATATGACTAGTAAGTCAAATTGCTTTCAATCCTATCATCTCCTCTCTGGCAAGGACAAGGTGAAACTAGCTGATGTGTGTTTTTCCACCATAGCCGGTCAAGGAACCATCTCCCTCCCTTCCGGATTTCATCTTTCTAATGTTTTTCATGTTCCAAAAATGCCTATAAACCTATATTTTATTAGTAGTATTACAAATTCATTGAACTGTTCAATAACATTCTTCCCTTCTTGTGTTATATAGGATTTGGCCTTGGGGATGACAATTGGTAGGAGTTGTATGATAGATGGGCTCTACATGCTGTAGAATAAACCTGGTCTTACAGTCACAGAGTCTAAGAGTTAGGTCAATTTGTGTCACAGTCACCTTGGTCATTTATTTTTGAGTCATTAAAAGTTTTGTTTCCCGAAATACTTAAGTCAATGTTAATGTTTGAATTTATCTGTCAAACTTGTCAGTTGAGCAAACAATGTAGTTTCCTTTGTGAAATAATAGATCTCAGTTAACTTTCCATGTTGTTTATTCTAATGTTTAGGGCCCTGCTACTTTGCCTTCTAAGACTAGTTATAAGTACTTTATTACACTCATTGAT